TATTTAAATCTCTCTATTTTAATAAAAAAAATTTAAATTTCTTTATTTGAGAAAGTTTATTTTTTGTTCTTAAAATTTATTATCTAATTTATTTTTAGTTCTTTCATTATTATTTTTTATATACATAACATATTAGATGATAGAAATTTTAATGTAAAATAATTAAAAAAAAACTAAAAAATGCTTATTAGTGGTCACTCTATTTAAAAAAAATTATTTTAATCCCTTTACATTAAAATATTTATTATTTAATGTATCACATATAAAAAAATAACAAAAAAAACTAAAAAGAAGGTTTTTTAAAATAAATAAAAAAACTAAAATTAAACTTTTTATTAAAAGAAGATCTCAACTTTATATTTTTTATATTAAATTATATAATAACAAAACAATTATTATCTCTCCTACCAACATACTATGTCAGCCAAACTTTAAATTTCTTATTTTTATAAAAATAAAATTATTACTAAATCCTTTAAATTAATCAACATCAATGTATTATTATAAATATACAGAAGAGAAGATGAAAGCGAAACCAATAATGATGATGATAAGGAAACAGGGAAAAGGTGAGATGCGTGTGGACCCATATATAGATATAATAAGACCATAGTCTTCACCTTTTATGATAGCAACGGGACGGAACAGAGAACTCCGTTCCCACGGCGTTTGTCTCTCCCTCCGTTCAAGGTCTTTTTCTCTTCATATGTCATGGCAATTTCAATCCAATTGGATCTCCGTTCCGTTTAGGTCGGTGCAAGGTTGTATATTACAGAGATATTTGGTTTAGTTCATACATAATTAGCGCATCTTGTACTTGCAAATTATTATTAACCAAGTCCAACAAAACAGTGATTGGATCACGTGGAAATGAAATTAGCCTGGGATCCACCTTAAATGAGTTTTCCATCCTCTTCACAATGATTATTATGCTAAGCCCATGAAATCATGTACGAACACTTTTTTTTTTTTTTACAGGATTGCAAATCGAGACTGGGAAATTCAAACCCTAATTGCATATCGTGAGGGTACACTTTACGAGTTGCCTCATGACAATTAAGTCGTGAGACCCATATGTTATGTACGAACACTTGATGCCAACCATTTATGAGCAATTATTTTTTGGTTAAACTTTTTTTTTGTCCTTCAACTATTATACGAACCCCTGATTGAGTCCTTCAACTCAAAAAATCCCTGATTTGGTCCCTACTGTTTACCATTTTAACCCCAACTTGGTCCCTTCGTTAAAAATCGCATGACATATACTGTTAACTAATGGAAGTATAATGATTTGTCAAAGTATTAAACCTACGTGGAAATACAGCATGGCAAAAAAAATAATGATTTGGCAATAAAAATTTAAAAATTTCTCTTTTTTCCTCCACTTTCTCTTTCACCTTCCTGTTCCTTTTCTTGCCATCTTTGTCGATCAATTCTTCCTCTTCCTCTTCATCTTCATCAAACAACAAAATCCACAAAAACACATAAATATATATATATATATATATATATATTTTCATCAA